GCACATGAGAGAGTGTAAGGAGAGAGGCAGCCTCCCAGCCCTCCCTTCCAAATCTGTGAAGTCTGTTATTGATGCCAAATTACGCCAAGGTGACCAAAAGTTCGGCCCCGTTGTAACCCCTGCAATAGTCTACAGTGGGGTGGCCCTCAGTTTTGGTGCAAAGCACAGGTGTGGGTAAAGGGGAGAGAATCCAGGCAGCAATCACTCCCTGGATGTATTCAGTCGACTCCTCAGATTGGAAGTGCTTCTGAGCACAGTGCTCTGTAGTGGATGGAGGTGATACACTACAGTAAAAACAGCTGAAAAGCCCCAGAGCCAAACCACTGGTATAGGGCAGGACCTAAAAGACCTGGAGTTCCAGGGCAGCCTGAAGAGGACCAACAGAAACCCCTGGCAGGACAGAGGAGTGATGGATACCCCCAGCAGCATGAAGAAGTGGTGTAGACCCCCAGAAGAGCAATGGAGACCCTCACCTTGTGGAAGAGTGATGGAGATCCCCAGCAAAGCGGCAAAGACCCCCAGTGGAGCAGGGGAAATCCCTGGAGGCAGATCCACAGTGGTGCTCCATAGTACCGCTCTACAGCATCAGTGTGACAGTAACTCCTGTGCAGACCTCCCTATCCAGCCCCTGTACCTTGGGCTGGCATAGGAGACAGAGCCCCAGAAGAAGGGCAGCAACCCCTGGCAGTGGGGAGCACTGGGCCTCTGGGGTGGGCCTCCCTACCCAGCACTTACCCCTGGATGGCAGCCCTACATGAGACTCCCTTCCCCAGTGACAGAACTAGATGGTAGCTCCCTGGGTTGGTTTGCCACTGACTATAACTGTGATTAATTCTGAGCTACAGCTAAAAGTTAATAGTTAAGATTTTGCTTCAGGTGTGCCCTTGCTCCCCTCTCCTCTTGTAATAGACCTGTTTTTGCTGAGTTGTGAATGGGCACATCTGTTCACACGAGAACACCCAGTGCAAATTTACTTTACCAAGCTTCTGGCTGGGGCCTCGAGGGAAATTTGACAAGTTGATGTAACATTCCCATATTTTCAATAAGGATAAATGCAAAGTGATTCATCTGCAGAGAAGTAAGTAACCAGCAATGTGAATATAGCTTAGGAGGAAATGTCCTGGCCAGCATCTCGGAGACCTCGAGGCGATGGTTGATCACAGGATGAACACGAGCTGCCAGTGCGACGCTGTCATCAACAAAGCTAATAGCACACTGGGAAGCATTAGCCAATGTGTCGGGAGCAGGGCTAAGGAAGTGATACTTCCTCTCTACTCGGTGCTGGTGAGAGCCCAGCTGGAGGACCATGTCCAGTTCTGGGTGCTGCACTTCAAACAAGATGTGGAAAATCTTGAAAGGTTCAGAGAAGGGCCATGAGAATGATTAAGGGCCTGGAGAACAAACCTCTGCAGACAGACTAAGGGATGAAGACTGTGGGGGAACTTGGTGGCCGTCTATAAGAATGTACAGGGTGAATATTGGGAGCTGGGAGAAAAACTGTTCACTAGGGCGCCCAGGTGGAGGACAAGGAGCAATGGCCATAAAATGTCAGAGGATGGCTTCAAGTTGGACGTAAGGAAAAACGTCTTTACGATGAGGGTGACCCGAATCTGGACTAGACTTCCCAAGGAGGGGGTGCAGTCCGCAACTTTGGAAGTCTTCAAGAGCAGACTGGACAGACACCTTGCTGGGATCAAGTGATCTCAGCAGTATTCCTGCCCAGAGAAGAGGCATTGGACTCAATCTTTCGAGGTCCCTTCCAGCCCCTCATTTCTACAGTTCAATGTGTATGCAGCTGTTCTTACTGCTGTGCAGTGCCTGGCAGAACAGCAGGGTACAGGCCTTGTAGGGTGGGTGTCAACTGGCTGGCTGGCACCCAAAAACCGAGCTTCAGGTCAAGCGGGGACCTGCCCAGGCTTCTTCAGGAGAGCCCCTCAGTGGTGGCGACGCGTGTTTTGGGGTAATCCAAAGCGGGTTTTGCCCTGTAACTTCAGCCTAAAAGCAGCTCCTCATTCATAGCAATGTAAATGGCACACAGGTCTGGTGGCTGGCTGTTGGCAGGCTGGCACGTGAAAACCAAAGTTTGGGTCAGGAAACGCTGTGCCCAGGCTGTTTCACAAGAGCCTGCCAGAGGTGATGATGTGAGTTTTGGGGTGACCCCAAAAGATTTTGGCTGATGATCCCATCAAAACCCAGCTCTATTTGGGGCAGTGTATTTGTTGCACAGGCCTGAGAGGTTCTCAGTTGTCAGGTTGGCACTCAAAAACTGAGCTTCAGGTCAGGCTGGATGCTGCCCAGTCTTTCTAGGGAGGGTCTCCAGATGGCAGAAGCGTGTGTTTTGTGGTGATCAGGGATCCGTTTTTCTTTTCCTGTGAAAAAAATGCAAAAAACATGGATTTTCCCTTTTAACGGAGAAAAATGTGGATTTTTCATTTTAACAGAAAAAAACATGCAGGTTTTCCACATTTGCAGAGCTCTCTGCAGGTCGGCAGACTTCCAGCCTGCAAGTGGCTGTGGGGAGCAGGAGGGGTGGATGGGGAGGCATGTGCCCCCTAGATCTGTGCACAGGGCTGGGGTGGATGCGGGCTGCCTGCTGCAGGCTTGAGCTCCTCACCCTGCTGCCCTCCTCCCTGGGACCTCTGCAACCCAGCGGGGAGACCCAGTGTGGCAGGGCAAAGAGGGGCCAGGTGGGGAAGCTCCTTGCTGCTGCAAACCCCGTGCTGCCCACCCGGCAGCAGAGGGGATGGTGGTGGAGTTGTGCCCCTCACTGCTGCCAGGCAGGCAGGGGGGCCGTTTTGTCACGGTGGTGCAGGGCTTGCAGCAAAGAGGAGGTTCCCCACCGAGCCCCACTCTGCCCTGCCACACTGGGTCCTGCTTGCTGGGCTGCAGGCACCCCGGGCAGATGGCATCAAGGTGGGGAGCTCAAGTCCCCACCACGGGCTCCACTCTGGCCGTGCCACCCACAGGGGAGGGGGAGTCGGGCTCTGTGCGCTGTTCTGCTGCAGCAGCTGCTGCCTCCCACAGGCAGCAGCCAGGGTTCAGGTGCTGTTGCGGGGGGGGGGTGGACCCGTGTCCCTGGCCCCATAGCCTTGGCAGCTGGGAGCCCCCTCTGGCAGGGCTGGAGGGGGCTGTGGGTGGGGAGTCAGGGGCCTGGACTTGCATCCTGGTTTGCAAAGGGGGCAGGGGGAGCTCTGATTTTCCCAAACCCCAAATCAAATGCCAAAATGTATAAGTGTTTAGAATTTCTTTTACTATCGTGATTGAGGCACTGGTAGGCTTACAAATTGCTTTGAAATTGTAAGCATATCAATAAACCATTGTGTTCAACTGATACCCATATATATAGTGGCGTTCCATTTAATCGTGGATTTTGGGGGTTTTAATCAGAGAATTTTTTTTTAAATCAGGGAATTTGCAATTTTTAAACAGAGAAAACCAGGTGACCCAAAACAGGTTTTCCCACAGTCCCAGCCCAAACTCAGCTCGTTGCTTGGAGCAACGTACACTGCGCACAGATCTTGGGGGGCTGTCATGCGGCAGGCTGGAACATGAGAAGAGCTCGGGGCCAGGCAGCCCTAGGTCAGACTTATTCAGGTGTCCCCCAGCAGTGGACGTGGTGCGAGCTGTTGGAGACAGACCCCCTCTGAAGCACATGCAGGTTGACGAGGGGCGTGTGAGTTGACGTTCTACCGCAATGGTGTCACTGACCTCCTCTTACCGCCGGGGCGCGTGCAGGGTACGTCGGTACATCATCTCTTTTGGGCGGGAACCTTCCCTGAGGTAAGTTGCCTGCTGAATTAGGTGCCATGTGCAGAATGAAAGTGAGGAGTGCAGAGGTGAATGAAACGTGTGCACAACATTTTGACTGGTTGTGACAGTGAGTGACAGCTGTCTGTCACTATGGGTATAAAAGGGACAGGACTGTGAAGGTCCTTGAACTTGGCTGTGTGTCCGCAGCAGGGCAAGTGATCGGTTTGTGATTGAGCGTGAGTGAGGACCGGGGCAGTCGATACCTCATTGTGATTGACCATGAGAGAGTGCCGTTGGTCTGGCTGTCTGGGGGACACCGACCCGAGGGATCACCATACCAGTGTGCGTGTGTTCCTCTCCATTATTGGCTATTGATTGTTTCCATTGGACTTTGTTTGTGATTGTTTCTGGTTCCTTGGTTTTTGTACAATAGTTGCTGTTGTTCACCCTTCCTCATTGTCGAGTGTGATTATTATTAATTATTTACTGTTGACCCGTTGGGTGGGATTGAGCTGTAGATCTATGCCCAGAGGAAATTGATTCTTTGTGGGCAGAGAATCCTTCGGAGGACAGGAGCTGATTTGAAAGGAATTGTTGAGGACTTGTGGGAGACCCAAATCCCACCCTGATCTCAGCTCTTTATTCAGGGCTATCCATGATATTATTTTACATTTTTATTATTAAATATACTTTTTCTCATGAAATTCTGGCTCTTTATCTTGCCCAATTTATTCTAATGTGTAAAAATGAGCTTTGAAAAAGGAACCAGGAATAAGGAACCAACTTCAGTCTCATCTGGATACAGAGAATTTAAAGCTTGGCTTTAATTTGAGGGGGAAATGAAGCCTTTCCCATTTGGGAAGCCAAATAGCCAGGGCCGAAGGCTGTTTTTCTCAGTGGACAGTGTGAAAATACCAATTAGGTAAAAATGACAGAAGTTAAGGGAAAAGGTTTGGAGAGGTGAGAACCAGTGGTGTGAAGCTGAGCTGCTGGCAAAAGCACTCTGTCTGGAGTCCAAGGCAAGTGAGAAGAAGCGAGGAGTGGGAGGCACATCTTGCTGCCTTCAGCTCTCACTGGAGAGCAGGAGGAAAAAGAGGGCACGGATGTTGCTGCCCCAGGATAGAAGTGCTGAAGGTACATGTGCTCCAGCTTAGACCACACGTAAAGAAGAATAAGTATTCCTAAAAGAAATGCTTTCTGTGCTGGAATGGAAAATGTCAAGCGTGTGATCATCATTGACTTACAAACAGTCTGTGAAAAACCCATATTTTATTGTATTTTAACTTTAACAGTAAACAAGGAACTACTGCAAATCCTATGAAACACACATTTAAAAAAACATGGTGCTAAAGGCACTTTTTATAATGTCTGGAACAAAATCTGAACTCAGTCTCTACTGAAGAAAGCTCCCTGTGTGTTTTCATTCCTCCTTAAGCTAATGCTTCTTTCTCCAAAAGCCTTTCCCAAGTGCACCACCAACAAAATTCTTTGTAGTAATTGACCCAGCATTTCCACTGCAACCTGAAATATGACATTACACCTCCCTTTCTTCTGACTGTGATAAATGTCCACCAGCAACTGCCCTACTAGTGCACTGGATGTGCTGTTGCATGTCCTAGCTTTGTCTTCACACTCCCTCAATTGTAAACGTTGACAGTGGCACAGGTGCAATAGATGAAATAAAGCAAAAGGATTAAGAAATGAAGATGCCCCCAGGATATTCTGATTCGTCTCCTCGATTGTAGGCAAAAGTCTCTTCTCACATCTGTATAACAGAAAAGTAGGATTTTCTAAGCATGCAAATATTTTTGCTGATATCCCTGGGAGTTTTGCATATGCACTGAAGCAGAACACCACAGCTGAGTACTACTACATCTGAGGGGAAATTGTCCTCAGTGGCACTGATGGAGATACTCATTCCAAAGCTGCCTCCTACAAATTTCTATTCATTCCAAATAACTATCCTTACCCCCTTATCTGGCAAACCTATACATATACACATGAAAGAAATACATTCAAAAGCATTTTTAAATGTTTTGATCTCCAGTCATAAAAACTGAGGATGGAAGTAGAGGAAGGTTTTCAGGTTTGATCAGAGCAGTTCAAAGGAGGGTCTGAAGCACTCTCATAAGCTTTGATTCTTCACAGAATCAGGCGTATGTTTCAGCATTTAAATTATCCCATTTTAAACCTATTTTGTTCTACTAGGTTAAGTTAAATGTATGAGAGTTCCTGCAGGATCTGGGTCATAGCAATTATTAGGAATTAATATAAGCATTGCAATAGGGTATATCTGAAATATTTCCTTGCTCTGTGGGGTAAATGCTGTATATGCAATAACACATTAACAAGTGCAGAGTGTTGATACTGTGGTCATCACCTGAGAAAATCCTAAACCCCCTGGGACCACTTCAATAATCTGAATGGTTTACATGTGAGGGGGAATTCTTTTTAACATAAAGACCACAATTTTCATTCCCATTAGCAGATTTTTTTTAAGAAAAAAAATCAGATGGCTTCTTAGTTGAAGGAAGTATGAACGTATGGCTTAACTGTGATATTCGGTCACCAAGTATTTCCCTTAAGATATATATTTACTATAAAACTTCCTTTCCTACATAGGTTCTATAGTCAAACTGTAAAAATGGTAAAAACTAAACAAAACTGGTCTATATTCAAATATGTTGCATACATAAAACATTAGTGACAGCATCCCTGTTAATTGAACGTTTGAAACAGATGGGAAAATAGTAAATAATATATATACTTTTAACAATAAATAAACATAAAATATTTCAAACCTAAAATATAAAATTTACATATCCAAAATACAATATATATATATACTCTATTTTGAAAAAGTTTCACTGATTACAGAATTAGTGAAACATAGATGAACTGTATTTGTATTTCCATATACAAATATTGGAGCTCATTTAGTGTCCACAGTTATACAGCCTGTTGATTTCTCTGCTTTTGAGTAGGATTGTTAGCTCCAAGTATCAATAATTAGGCTTTCTCGTGTGCTGTCACATCAAATAATAGCATCTGGAATTATGACCATAATAATATAAATTTTTTTTAATAATTGCAAAAGTACAGCTTATCAAAATATTGTGCCAAACTAATTTCAGCAGGTGCTGATGTGCCAAATGTGAAAATAAGATTTTAAATCTAAGACATTTTATCCCTCTGAAAAGGTTCTATATGCTATGTGACTTTCATCCAGAAAGAATAAGTATTAAGAACTGGCTCATTAAGACCACAACAGCAAAAATTAACCTAAAAAATCTGAAGGGGGTGGAATTATTATCATACATACAATATATAACTCTTTCTTATACTTCAGGAAACAAAAAGGATTTACTTGTTCAAACTTGTTCAAAGCTCAGCTAAACAAAAAGCTGATTTGTAGCACTAGTAAATACAGTAGCGACTAACAAACTTTGCTGTACACTGTAATTACATGTAGTGTTCAATAATTTTATTGCTACTGCTCAGGTGACACTTATTTGATCTTGTCTTTCAGTTTCAGCTCTTTTCTCCTGACGATGTTTAACTGCAGCCCAAAAGGTTATCTTTTTCAATACTTGCTGTAAAAGTCCGGGTGGCAACCAGGATATTTGATTCTTTAAAAAAGTTGCATTTTTACCAATGCAGTCAAGGCACAACCTACAAAAGAAGTCAGGATTTACAAAAGTCTTATAAACTAAGGGTATAACAATGAAATATCTTTAAAATCAACTCATATATAAATAAAATCACCATTCTGCAAAACAATTAAACCTCTGATACTGTTTTGCAATATTATACATAGTACAATTACAATATTAACTAAAACAATGGTTTTATATTTTACCAGCATCTCCGTGAATAAATGGTTCTAAATGCTTTATGTTAAAAATAAAATAAAATTAAACCCTCTTCAGATATTAAAAGCAGTACAACATCTGCTGGCCCTAGATTCATTGTACCTCTATATAATCTCAACTTACCTAAGAAGTGAGTATGGTTCTGTCTGAAAGATAAGTAAGTCACTGCAGTGTCCCTAATGAAAAAAATACCAACAAAAAAAGAAAAACAATTAGGAAATGACCAAAATAGACTTAAATCCCCTTTCCTTGCCAAGACAGCCTATGTGCCACAACCCTAAATAGAATCACCATTATTTGCTTTGATGGATAAATATAAAATCACAAACTGAGAGAGCAGATTTTGGCTAGATATCAGGAAAAATTTCTTCACGGTAAGGGTGACCAAAATTTGGAATGGGCTTCCAAGGGAGGTGGTGCTCTCCTCTACATTGGGGGTCTTTAAGAGAAGGCTGGATACACATCTGGCTGGGTTCATCTGACCGCAGCGCTCTTTCCTGCCCAGGCAGGGGGTCGGACTTGATGATCTGTTGAGGTCCCTTCTGACCCTAACATCTATAGATCTATGAATGAATCTATGAAAAATGTACACTTAAAAGCATGACTGAAGTTTGTTTTTAGATTAACACCTAGATTAACACCTAACCAAAATCTAATATTTAGATTAACACTTAGTTTACAAAAATGCTAATCATCTCCCCAGAGGAAGGACTTTGGGGACACATAACCCACCAAGATATGTAAGGCCACATTTTCTACAGCATTGTGTCTTCCAGTGCATCTTCAGTCCTGTACCAACTGATGTCAGAATGTATCTTTCACCAAGCATTGGAGTATGCAGTCTTGGACCTTTAGGGACACACCACCGGTACCTGGATGGCAGTAAAGCCCCAATAGCTAGTCACCTACAACACTAGGCTAAAAAAGCTAAGGAGTTGTGAGGATAGAATAAAAATATTTTTAAAGAAAGTAGTAGTGGTAAATAGAGAAATGCTTGGGAGAAGTCAGTATAAAAAGGGAAAGCCAAGCAATTGCATTACATGACATAAAAATAATGGGTGTTTTGTTTCATCAGAAATCTTTAAAATGGTAGAGACCCAAATTAGAAAGAGTTTAAACAATTCAGAACCATCAGATTGGAAACATTAACTTACATAACCAATAATACTATTATTAATACCCCAGCTCTCTTTCCACTTTACCTCTTATTGCTACACTTACTTGTCATGTCTACATTTAGGTCAACCACAGCAAACACTTATACATGTGCGAAGCATTCACGAGTATGATTATATGGCAGATGACAGCACAGTCCAGGAATAACTGAGCTAGCTCTACACATGCCAGCTCCAGAACTGGATGCAGTACAGCTGCATTAGCATGGTGCTGCTCTGGGAATAAAAAGTCATCCATCTCTATGGAGCTAATTAGCCCACACAGTACTCCACTTACACAGCTATGCTGGTTTGGTTTCCAAGCTAGCACACAATGAGCTGGCTCAGCAAATCTCTTCATGGTGCACCACATAAACTAGGCTTGCTGGGGGAAGGGGAGGATGAGGTTGGAGGGAGTCTCGGACCACCAAACCAAGTGTTGCCCACAAGAACAGCCCTGCCAAAACTGACAACACGCACAAGAAATACCCAGGTAAGAGACCCAGATAGTCCTGGGATTAGGGGGAGTGCATACACCTTCAGGAGGCCTTAAATGCCTACACACTAATGCTCGTAGCATGGGGAACAAGCAGAAGGAATTTTCCCTCCTGCTAGCTAACACAAACCCAGACATAGTGGGGCTCACCAAAACGTGGTGGGATCCAACGCATAACTGGGTGGTGAATATCAAGGGCTATAGGCTGTACAGGAGTGTCACAGAGCTCTCAGGTGCCCTGTGACTGAGAGCAGAAACGGCTCGGGAGCGACCCCTAGTGGCGGGAAAGGGAAAACGCAACTGCCAGTCACCAGGACTGCGCAGGTGCTGGTTGCCCTAGCAACCAGGGAAACCTAGAGACAGGAAGGGGCGGAGCTTAGCCCTTCTTAAGCCCAGGCAGAAGGCCAGGAGGGCAGTT